AGACAACGCCATGACTGAAGTACCAAAGGAGCTGCTTGTGGTGACACACGTCTATAAATCCCAGCACTTGAGGGGCTGAGGCAGAAAGATTGCTCTCAGGTGAACGTCAGCCTGGGCTACCTGGTGAGCAGAAAGACAGCCAGGCGGGACTGCATAGCCAGATCCTATGCTCAGGGCTAAAAGCACTTCCAGAGAAGTTCGGTTCCCAGCCCATACATCGGATGGCCCACAAATGCCTGTAACTGCGGTCCCAAAGGCCTGGTGTTCTGAGTTCAATCCCTGGGACCCATATGAAGGAAAGAAGGTGACTCAGAAAATTTGTCTTCTGCTGTCCACATATACAAACACACAAAATAAAATAAATCTAAGGAAACAAAAATAAACCTTTTTTTTTTTGTCTCAATAAAACAAATTGAGAAAGAGAGAAAGGGAGGTACAGAGGGACAGAGGGAGAGATGGAGGGAGGGACAGAGGGAGGGTAAGGCCCAAGCTAGCCTTGAATTCTCAATCCTCCTGCCTCAGCCTCCAACATACTAGAATTTGTCATATGCCACAAACCTTGTAAACCCTTTTTAAAGATGTTTTAACTTACTATTTTGTGCGTACAAGTGTTTGCCTCCATGTTTTTAGCACACGCACGCTGGTTCCCACAGAGGCCAAAAGAGGGTTTGGATCCCCTGGAATTAGAGCTACAGAAGCTTGTGAGCTGCCATGGGGGCGCTGAGACTCGAACCTGAGTCCCCTGAAAGAGAAGGCAGTGCGCTTAACCACTGAGCATCTTCCCAGGCCCATTCATCCTAACTACCTGTACTATTTTTAACTAAGTGTGTCTGCCTGTGTGGGCACAGGTGCCTGCAGGGTTCAGATGAGGGCATGGGGGTCCCTGGGGCTGGAGTTCCTGACAGCTGTGAGCAGCCAGGTGGATGCTGGGCTCCACCTGCAAAAGCATTAGGCACTCTTCCCTGCTGAGCTGTCTCTCCTACCCCAGTGGAAGACACCTGCGTTCCACTGTCGCTTTACTTTCTACTGTGCTTATCGTATACTGAAGACATGTATGTATGAAGAGGAATACATGCCGTGGCATGTGTGTTGGAGGTCACAGGATAGCTTTAGGGAGTTAGTTCTTCCACCGTGCAGGTCTTGGGGATCAAACTCAAGTTGGCAGACTTGACAGCAACCACTCTTACCTCCTGAGCCGCCTCCCCAGCCATCTCTTTCCCCATAAGCTGCAAGTTGAGTATCCTCATATGTTAGCAGCATTAGAAGTCTTACATCCTTTCTTTTTTAACTAATATTTTTATTTTATGTGTATGGGTGTTATGCCTACATGCATGTCTGTGCTCTATGCAGTGCTGGTGGAGGCCAGCGGAGGGCATCTGATCTCCCGGACCTGGAGTTACACGGACTCTTGTCAGCCCTGTGGGTTGCTGGGGACTGAACCCAGAAGAGCAGACAGTGAGCCATCTCTGCATCCCCGCCTTGCATCCTCTTTCTACAAGCCACTTTCTCCATTTATTTGAACTTAATTCTGCCCTAACAATTAAAGTATGTCAAACATTAAAAATAAGGACATAACCACTATAAACAGATGTAAACCAAACAAAAGAGTCTCAGAACGTATGAAGCAAACTGGCCCACAGACTTACAGGAACTAGACAGCTCTGTAATGATAACTGGAAACTTCCATAGGCCACTTCACAAGGAACTATACAAAAGAGCGGAAAGGGGGCTGGAAGATGGCTCAGAAGATAAGAAAATGGATTTCTTAAACCAGCGTAATGCCTAACTACATTCTAGATGTTTATCCTTATAACCACAGAAATACCCATCCCACTCTCTTTTAAGAAACACCTCCTAGCAACAGAAGGAAACCATTACAGAAAAGCTACCACAGATCAAAATGCAGAGGACAAGTGACTGTGTGGTGCCCAACGAGGGTCTCAGATTCCCTAGGGCTGAATACAACTGAAGCATCTACAACACAAGTCCTGTACCTAAGGCTCAATGATGATTGTGGGAAAGGGGCACATTCCCCTTCATAAAAGTTGCTGTGGTCACAGTGTCTCTTCACAGCAATGAACCCCTAAGACAGGGCAGAAAGGCTGTAAGAGCCAGAAGAACAGGAAGTTTGCTCTCAGGTTGCACCTCCTAGAAATGTCAGAGAAGCTACACTTGAGACTCTTCATCAACATGGCTGCCTAAACATGACCCGAACAAGGATTCACGAATAGACATGCCAACGTGGAATGGGAAGATCTTATGGGGCCTCAAGCCTAAACAAAGAGCTACAGGCGACTAAAGAACGCTGAGCTGGACAAATACCTCTCCCCAAGTAGTGGCAGATGTGTGCATCCGAGAGCAACGCTGGCTCAGCCCTCACTCCCCGAGGAGAGGGCAGGCATGCTGTACAGCCTAAAGTCAGTCTCTGTTTGTCTTACTGTGTGTGTGTGTGTGTGTGTGTGTGTGTGTGTGTGTGTGTGTGTCCGCCTCCCCATCCCCCCTGCCCTTGGCCCCCTGGCCTTGTTTCAGGACAAGGACAAGGATGGAGAAGAATGAGATTGGAAAGCTCTAGAAAACCTGTCATCACCCAGCAGGACCACACATGCCTGGAAGGCTCAGCACAAACTTAACCCTGACCAGCTGTGCGCCTCAGAGGAGCTCCTGGGAGCTGGAAGGCTGCCCCAGGACTGTAGGCCGTTCCTGTACAGTTCCCCAGGGAACTGTGGTGGATCCAAGACTTGTGCTGCCGCTTCTGTAGCCAATGACATGGTAAGAAATTTCTCCATCTACAATATCCCTTTGGAAAGATTAATCCATTTACTCTTCACAGCAGTCTCTGAACTACTCACTTACCCATCTCACAAAGCAGGAGGCTGAGAGACAACTCAAGATCACCCAGTGCTGGCTTTAAACAACACTCCTCCTTTTCCTCCCTTCCTTCCTCGGTCTGAATTCCCAGCAGACAAGCTAAGAGCAGCATGGACCAGGACTCCCTCGGCTCCAGCAAGGATGGAACATTTAAGCCAGCCCTTAAGATATCTCTTCCTCCCAAGAAACAGACATGAGATGTGTTTGAGTCTCCCCGAGACTGCGAATGGAGACTCAGGCTGGAGGATGTGAGGGAATCTAATCCAGGCCTGTGACTCCAGGGCACACAGCAGCTCCCACCCAAGGGTGCTACCTCCCTAGGGAGTCTCAGGTGTCAGTGCTCTCCACCTAGGCACCAGGCAGTGGCACAAAAAGTCCCGAGAGAAGGGTGTTGGGACAGGACAGAAGTTAGCAGAACACAGTGTCCCCAGAGTTCTCTACAGAGAACAGGACTAGGTCTCACTACAAAGGTATGTAAGCGGTGGTTCTCAACCTTTCTAATAGCTATAATACAGTTCCTTGTGTTAGGGTGACCCCAACCCTAAAATTATTTCCATTGCTACTTTCTAACTAATTCACTATTACATAATGTGAATGTTTTAGGTGATCCCTGTAAACAGGTCGTTTTACCCCCAAAGTGGTTGAGAACTGCCATATTAGGGCAACAGATAGAGCTGTGAGCGGGGGGGGGGGGGGCTTTAAAAGGTCACTGATAGCAGGTGGCAAACGTGTCTGGGCTCTTTAAGGGTTACAGGAGCATTTGGCGTAGAAACTGTTCCTTGCCTCAAACCAGATCTCAGCGACACAGACAGCAGTTAGCCACCACGGAAGGCTGCCGAGCCCCATCGGAACAGCCCCCACTCCAATTCCAGTGTCTATCTGGACAACTTCCCCTCCTAAGGGAAAGTTAAAAGTGAATGGAGCCCAAGTTAAAGACTGCTATGCTGCATATCTGATGGGGACTCCCCCAGTTAGGCCACCAGAAGGGTACAAGATGCTCCAGCAACAAAGCAAGCTGAAAAACCAAAGAGCAGCCTCCTCAGCATACACACACACACACACACACACACGCACACATGCACGAAAAGGGGAGAACTCTGACGAGATTCAAGTATCACTGAGGCTCCTCCATCCCCGGTGCATGCTTTACCTTCCCACAGGACTGTAACAGTTGCCCCTCTGCAGGCTGGTTCTACCTACCCAGTGGAGAGGTGTGCCCTGTGTGTGCAGCTGTGGTAGACTAAGATGCCAACCGTATGATCCTGGGAGGAGCTGCCTTGCTCCTAATTCCTCAGACACTTTATGGAAAAGCTTAAAGGGATGTGGGAACAGCTGGGTTGGAAGTGGAGGGAAGTAACAGCTGTCCTGTCCCAAACTCAAGTCTGTGAGACAATCCATATGATCAGTCCCTCATCCCAAAGAACCCCAGGCCAGTCAGGGCTGGTCATACATGGCAAGATCCAGTCTCAAAATCTAAGACATACAACAGCCAAGCCAGGCCTGCACATATTCACAAATGCCGTTCCTACCCGCTTGGCAAGCTTTAACACAGGCCTCTTAAGCTAACGGAGAGCTAAGTAGTGCCAACCCTGGGCAGAGGTTCGGGAAGGCCAGTCTGGAAGGGAGCAGATCACGCCCACTTGGATCCATTAGTGCTACAAGATCCAAATGTGGAAGGCGGGTCCCTCGCCCATCAGGGCTGTAGGCTAAAATGTGGAAGGCAGGTTCCTCGCCAAGCAGTGACAGTGCGAGTCAAGCCTCCGCAGCATCTTCCACTTATGTGTCACCTGGTAATTGCCAAAGTCAGAAGCCACTCGAAGGCAGCGCCTTCAGCAGTGAACACCACCAGGAGGTCCTCCAAAAGCCCAGGTCTCCCAGGTTTGGGCAGCTTCACACTCAACAAACCAAGGCCTGGTGATCACTTACAAGCCTCCTTTTCTTGCCATTCTAGTTTGCTAGAGTTGGCAGATGTGGGCACAGAAACAAACTGGACCTAAGGGAGAAATTAGAGGGTAAGGGAGCAGGCCTAGGAACAACGGGGGGGGGGGGGGGGAGTTCACTTCCTCCCAGCACAGGCCCCCTGGACCCATCCAAAGTCAGCACTGCAGTGAACACACTGGCAAAAGCACAGATTTATGTTTACCATTTATTTCTTAAAATCTTATTCAAAATATTAAATAATACAATTTCAGATATGAAAAAAACTACTGCAATAAAACTGTTCAGGTATATTTCACTATGCTGCCCTCCCTTCGGACAGTCAGCTGTCCCTGAAGGGGGAGGACAGCACTGTTGCTCTCGTGTCCACACGGGGACCGTGGCTGCTGGCTCGGCCCGCTGGCTCCCCAGGGCTTTGCTGAGCACGCAGTAAAGACTATGCTTTCTGCAAAGTTGTAATGAGGCCTGGTAGTTAACCATTGTTCAAATCACACATTTACACTCTGATCAACTCTAAAAAACAGGCTAACATAAAATGCAGTAAATAATCCCAGTTGCTGAGGGAGGGGGCTGTGGGGAAGAAGCAACACGATAAAACACGGCAGGGAGTGCGAAGGTCACTGTTGCACAGATCTGTGTGTAAACTTTTTTCAGATTACCGCTTGAACTGCAGGCAGGACTGAGACACACGATCAGTTAAGTGATAATGGCCTCAGTGATACTCGGATCTGGTCAGAGCTCTCCCCTCTGCGTGCACGCCTTCAAACTTACTGTGCAGCAAGAAACAAAGTGAAAAAGCTCTGATCTAAGCTTTAAATTCTGCTCATCATCTGAACCCTTGGAACTCACTCGTGCTAAAATCAAATGGTGACTAAAAGTGCCTGCTCGTGGGTTAAATATTCTCTACCCTAAACCTCAGTCAGTAATCCAAACCGAAAGCTGGTATCTACCTAACGTGTCAGTGCTCACTGGGAACTTCAGCCTCTTTTGCCAGAATTCCTAAACAAGCCTACCGTGACTGGCGAAGCAGCAGCCACATTATCATACATGTGTTTCAAGTGCCTAAAACATCCAAAGTGGAAGGGGGGTGTTACCACCCGCATTTGCTGTGTGTATGAGCATGTGCGTGTAGGTACACGAATGCCATGGCACACGTGTGGAGGTCAGAGGACAACCTGCAAGAGTTCACTCTTTCTTTCTACCATGCATGTCCTGGGGATCGAACTCGGGCTTCGAGGCAAGGCAGCAAGAGCCCTCACCAAGTGCGCCCACCTCACCGCCTTTCAGCGCAGCTTTCCAAGAGAGGCCAAGTGTTATTTCAAAGCAAAGCATTTTATCGCAGTGTCCCTGTACAATAAAGTTTGGGACCACACAAAAAACGTTTGAAGAAGATGGTATCTAGATGTGGGTGAGCAGCCACACCTATATAACACCACTGAGAAGCCACGGCAAGAGGACCAATAGTTCCAGGCCAGCCGACGCTGCTGAGTGAGACTTTATCGCAAAAAGTAGAAACAGAATAAAAGAAAGAGGGAAAACAGCATTTGGATGGCAGCAAGTGATGAAAAACAGCAGTGCTGTGTCCCGTGAGACTTTAGCTCTGGTTTGGGGTTTTTCAAAGGGGGCACTGCTGCCAGAGGCACGATAAATGGAAAATAACAACTACCCAAAAATATAAGGTAATGTTTAACTCACATTACAGATACCTGATTGAATCTAGATCTAAAGAACAGATAAAAAAAATTATATACTCATTGTTTGTGACATTTAGTTCCCAAAGCACCAAGGCAAAAGAGAGCGCCCTCTCAGTTAAGGACCGCTTGCCTGTGGCAAACATCTGCACATCCTATAAAAGTCAAGCAAATAAAATGACATAATAAGCAAACTCCAATCACAGCGCTTTAGAAAATATAATCATTGGTGATCTTCAGAGAAGGCATGGCCTCGTTCACGTTCTGGTCCAGACGATGATACTCCACAGTTTTGGAACACAAGCCATCACGCCACTTCCTGCTTTGAACTAGGAGGAAAATCTGAAATAAAACAAAACAATTAGACAAGCCGGAGAGAAAACTTAACTGGTAACAAGTAAATTCTATGACAAGCGCAGGATATTGTTTAGTTGGGACATAAAAGCTAGTATTGGCAAAGCCAGCACTCTTCTGGAGCTTGTCAACAAGGCTGCACAGTGCTTCTGAGTGGGCGAGGGGAGGAGAGCCCTCCCACACGCCTGAGTGGCATTTAACAAGTAAGCCTGGTGGTCTGCCTGCTGCCTTGTCACTGGCTCACCGACACTTGAAGCTGGAAGACATTCTGAAATTACCTGGTCCACCTCGTCCTTTCTCAGGTAAGAAAACTAAGGCCTCAAAGAAGGAAGGCAGCTTAAATGACAAGATGTGCTATAGGAACTAAGTCCTCAAGAGCATGCCTGAGCACCCTTCAGAATTCAGAAAGGCTCAGCTACTCAGCCCCATGAAGTGACAGCCGCCCAGTAGCTCAGGAAGCTAACAGGAATGGTCATCACTGTGCTAGCTCTGGGCCAAAACATGGAATCGTCTAACTGTCCAGAATAGAGCACAATCAAGTACACAGGCATTAAAGCACATTTTCAAATACAGTATAGTGCCACAGTGGCCGGGGGAGGGGGGCTCATGAGACCTCAACCCTACACAGAGAAATACAGGCAACTAAGGAATGCTGACTGCTGGGTAACACTCTACATCAGGGAATAGCATGACAATTGGCTATCTATAACACTAAAAGGTCAAGCATACACATAAGTCACATTACGCAAACTGAGCAGGTTATATCTAAGAATATATATTCATATTTAAGAACATATAAACACATAAGAACAATTAATGGAAAAAAAGAGGCCGTGAATTTGAAAGAGCAAGGAGGGGTGGGTACATGGAAGGATTTGGAGGCAGGAAATGATATAATTATATTATAATCCCAGAAGTAAAAGAAAAAATGGAGGGGGGAGAATACGCTGGGTAATGTGCATAATTTGTTCAGCACAGCACAAGTTATTGGGGCTGGAAAAGCGGCTCAGAAGTTAAGTAGGTACTGCTTTGGCAGAGGGCCGAGAGGACCCAGCACCCACCTCAGCACCTCACAACAGCTCTAACTCCCTCTCCAGCCTCCGCTGGCCCTGAACTCACAGACACAGGCCCACACAGACACATACAATCAAAACCAAAGCAATAAGAAGTAAGATGCTGGGCCGCTGGGACGGCTTCTTACACAAGCATAATGACCCAAGTTCAATTTCCAGAACCCAGAAAAACACGAGAAACAACCCCACAAAGTTGTCCTCTGACCGACACACTGTGGTATGTGCCCTACACCCACAATTTAAATAAAATTTCATAGCAAAATCCAAAGTTTTACATGAGATAGCATTCGTTTAAAAATTACAGCATGTATATATACATATATATGTTTGTGGACCAGGAATAAACGAAAACATAATTCAGTACTCTGAGGAGCCGTGTAAATTTCCTTTTTTCCTAAAGTCTTGAGATTTCTAAATTCTCTACGTTAAACATGTTGGGGGGGGGGGGGATCGTTTGTAACCAGATCCCCTGGAACTAGAGTTACAGGTTATGAACCACCATGTGGGTCCTAGGAATTGCAAGGCAGCCCTCTGCAAAATCAGCTAGTGCTCTTAACCATGACGCTGTGTTTCCTAGCCCGAGCTGTCTGTTTATTTTTGAGACACAGTTTCACATAGTCTAGGCTGGCTCTACCTCCCAAGTGACAAGATTACAAGCACACCCCACCACACCTGGCTACACTTTTTTTGTTTGTTTGTTTTGGTTTATTTGTTTGGTTTTTTGAGGCAGGGTCTTGAATATACATCCCAAGCTACCCTGACTCTAGTAACCCTGAATCTCCGACCCTCCTGAATCCACCTGAAATGTGATTCAGAATGTGTTACAGAAATGTGACCATGCTCAGCTTTACATGGTGCTGGGAAGAGAACCCTGGGCTTCATGTGCACTACAAGGGGACTCTACCCACACACCCACATCCTCAGCCAATCCTTGTATAAACCAGAAAGTAGTGTTACTGGCAGACCATTAAGTCAATGCATAATAAATTAAGCTAATATTCTTTTTCCACAAGTATTCCCAAGGAGGTGTCATTATCAAATTAAGAAATGCAAGCCAGGTGTGAGGGCTCCCACCTCTGACCCCAGCACCTCGGAGGCAGCAACAGGTGGGTCTCTGTGAGTTCAAGCCAGTCTGGTCTACAGAGTGAGTTCCAGTACAGCCAGGGCTACACAGGGAAACCCTGTCTGAAAAATAAGTAACTTGCTGGACTTTGGTCTCATTCATTATGAAAAAATTCAAGTAGTTTCCTAGAAGCACATGCAGCATTATTCCTGATCTGTCTAATGTACCAGACTCGTAACTTCATCAGAAATGTCAACATTTTGTCGGCACTTTAAACCTGACTTAAAAAATGTATGCAGACACAAGTGAGACACTCCCATTGCAGAAAGGACTAAGATGCCGACTTACCTTCCTTTTGTTGTGATAGGTAACATACACAACAGCTGCGCAGAAAGAAAAAATAAGGAGATGAAAAAAGAAATGGCTGTCTTCTCTGTTTGGGGGCTGCAGCTTCACGACCTTCACCGAGTCCTCAAACTCCCTCAAGCGCCTGCTCTCTTTGTTTAACTCTATGTTTATGTTACCCTCAGGCTCCTCGTCCCGGGGGTTGGTGGTCCAGTCGTAGTCTGGCTCTCCATAGTCACCATTGTCCAGAGTGTCTTTGGCTGTGGACGGGGAGCTGTTGAGTGCCAGGAGGTCCTCCTCCTCCATGCTGGGGTCTTCATGGCTGTCAGCCTCGTCCTGGGACACAGAAGGAGCAGCGGAGGGGGTGGGCGCTGCAGAGGTGCCTCCACTTTTCTCTGTACTGGCTGGGGGAGGAAGGGTGGTGCTGAGATTGAATACAGGCTTTTCAGTGTGGTTTCCAGGTGTCAGCTCAGCTTTAGGAGAAACAGCAACACTTTGTGGAGTATTCTCTGCTTTAGCTGAAAAACAAAAGCACCAACATTGCTTTTCTCTAAGAGAAAACCATATTTACTGAATTTTTCATTAAACATTTCTCTTCAGCATAATAAATTCCTGTAGCTTTCTCTTAGATCTAGTTAAGTCTCAATGGCTAACGATCAGTTACATTTCTTCTTGGCCTGTTAATATCAGGTAATAATTTCTTTACTCAGTAACAACTTGAATAGAGCACACTCAATAAGCAAGCACCAGTTTTCAGGTCAGGCAAATGCCACAAAGACCCCATCCCACCTCTACTGTTTCCCTTTACCAAAGACCAGGCCTCAGCCAGCCTTGTCCAGACTCCACCTCACGCCCCAGCAGAAAGGGAACAGAATAATCCTGGGTCAAATCGGTCTGCAACTACACCATAAAACATACACTTTTAGAAACTGCCTTTGCAGCCGTGCACAGTGGCACGCGCCCAGGCAGCGGAAGGTGATTGCTGTGAGTTCGAGGCCAGCCTGGTCTACAAATCGAGTTCAGGACAGCTACACAGGGAAACCCTGTCATGAAAAACAAAAACACAAGAAAGAGACAGAGAGAGAACAAACTTGACTTTGCTAAAAAAAAAAAAAAAAAAATTTACTGAAACCTCAACTGGAGCCCAGGAAATGACCAAGTACAGGCTAAAAGCCTTCATCTTGTCTGTGCCCTGATTCCCTCTGCGTGTTGGTATGTTAAGTACTCAAGGAAGTGTCTGCTTAGTCAAGGAGGCGTCTGCCTAGTTGGGGTCATCTCCCTTCAAGCCTGCAGGCAGAGAAATACGCTGCTGTCCTAAACCCGCAGGCACCCTGATTCTACAGAGCAGACCCTCCAAGGAGAAGAACAGCTATCTTATCCATCGGGGAGAGGGGCACCCTGGCACAGGAGTACATCCCCTGAGAACCACCACGTCTCCTCCAGCAACAGGAACTTCTGATCACCTTGCAGAACCAAACTAGAGACAAGAGTCCCAGATCACACCCTGACCAGGATGCTCACTGATGCCCAATCCTCCCTGGCCCGTGCTTAGAGTCAGGATCTCCTGAAAACAGGGCGATTAGCAGCCACTAAACCCCCTTCTCAGATTCTTTCTCTCCCCAGTATGGCCACATTTATTCTCTGCTTTTCATCATTCCTTGACTCTAATTTGAATATTGAGGATAGGTAGCAGAGCCTAGTTTGTGGGGGCAGCCAAAACCCAGGCTTTTACTCTAAAACTTTGTTTCCAGCATATAACCAGTATACAAAATTACAAACCAGCTGTAGCCAGCATTTCTATGTGATACCTGAATACTCTTTAAAAATAAATAAAAATTTTAAAACACCAAAATTCTAAGGGGCAAGAACCAGAAACTAGAACTTGAAACCTAAGTGACAACAACATATTTTGAAGATTGGGAAAGCAGACTCTGGATGAAAAATGACGCCAAATGCTTGCACAATCTTCTAGCCTGTGCCTCTACCTCCTCAGCGAAGCTTGCTCAAGTACAGCTAAGACTGTTTACAGAACTAACTCCGCCCAGCAGGAAGAGTCGATGGGGATACAGCCCACAGAGGAAAGCTGCTGGAACTGAACAGGGTTTCTAATCTGTACCTGAATGGAACTCTACTGAAGAACTGTAGGGACACCTGTTGCCTATAAAAGCCTGTCATGTGTGATCTAAACCCTCAGTCTATAAAAACCGGCCACAGGCCTTCACAAATATGCCCACGCACAGGCAACAGCTCTTCATATACACGCTCATTTAGATAGCACAGTTGACAATTACTTTGCATACATAAAGGAGAGGGTCTTGGGCAGAAGTCTCCTAGAAAAGTAATTTCTAACAACAACAACAAAAATTGGATTGGGGACGCAGCCTAGTATATGTGGGATACTAGGTTTGATCCCTAGTAGTAGAAAATAAATAAGTATTAAAAGACAGTAAATTAGAGCCAGGCACAGCAACACACACTGTAAATGTCACCACTGGAGCAGTGGAGGCCGGAGGCTCTAGAGTTCAAGGTCATCCTCAGTCTACACAGCTAGTTTGAGGACACCCTGCCTCCAAAACAAACAATCAGTCTTCCCTAGCTAACTTTTGGGATAGTCTCTAAAAAACCTGAGCTGGGAAGGGCAGGAACCACTACCAAGAAACCCTCTGCCGGGCCCTCCAGATCTCTTCCCATGCTTCTCTGTTGATGGAACAAAAATGCGACTCCTTTCTAAACACGCCGGCCCTGCAGCCCTTTCCCTCCAGACCTGGTTTCTCCTCCACACCGCTGAACAGACTGAAGGAGCAGCACAGCCCTCCACCACACACTAGTTTCCACTCTTCTCAACAAGGGCCACTGGTCTGGGGACACACATCTCCCCTGTCGCCAGCTCCTCCTCTAAGGCTTTAGCTCCTAACTGCAGGGCTCTCATCCAGAGATGACCTCCTATCCAGATTTCAAAACCCATGACCTCTCTCCAGCTGAGTCAGCCCACCCTACCACAGCAGCCACCTACTCCACTGCTCAACTCTCCCACGAACCCATCTGCCCGGTATGCTGGCCTCGCTTTCTGATTCATGTGCTGGTCTTCTCAATCTGTTAAGACTTACTCCCATCCTCACTTTTTCAGCCCTTGTCAGCCACCACCAAATCCTGCCGATACACTCTCCTCTCTTTATCAGAGTTCAACGATGTGGCCAACCACTCTAATCCCTCTTGCAGTGATGCCCAATGGCCTTCCCGCTCACACACTATCTCACTCGATTGGCAAAGGCTAAATCAAACTCTTTATCCCCAAGTGCCTCATCAGCTGCCCACAGCGGGAAACACAGCCATCCCACTGTTTTCATTTCATCCGAAATTCAATGTGGCAGCTCCTACACACTTAGTGGTTATGCTGCAATTTCCTAGTCCATTTCCCTTCCCTTCCCTGAAGCCTCCTCAAACTTCCAACCCCTTTTCTGACACCCCCACTTTTCACCTGGTGAAAACCACTGACATTGTCTACCTTCTCTCAGAAAAATGATCACTGGAAGAGAACTTCCAGGAACCACCAGAACTCTGCTCATTCGTCTGCCTCAGAGAAGTAGCCTCCTCTGCCACACATATATGCCTCCTACAGGACACACCTCCTACATGACACACCACCTACGTGACGCAGGGCATGGACAGACACCCCTGAAACAATGGGCAATAAATCCTGCCTCCTCTAAAGCCTTCTCAAGTTCTCTACACCGGCAACAGAGCAAAAACGGACCCCGCTGGTGAGGCTCCTGGGTTCAACCCCCAACCCAGACTTGAGGGAGAGACTGCGGGGGAGTTGCTGCTGCTTGTTCTAGGCTGCATGCGTGGCATGGTGTTTAAAGTCCATCAGTGTAAGTCCAAACACACCACCAAGCCAGGTGAACCCAGGTTTCACACCTTGCACAAACATTAAGCCTAAGTCAGGTAAAATACAAAATATTAAAAGAAAAATACAAAGGCGAAAAATCTATAAAATCTGGAGCTGGAAAAGTTCTTAAATCTTACCAAAAAAAAAAAAAAAAAAAAAAAAGAAAAAATGCTATTCTTCAAAAAAAAAAAAAACTGCTGCGCAAAAAATTCTCAAAATAAAAAAAAAAAAAAAAAAAAAAACAAGATGTACAAATGCTATTCTTCAAAAGACAAAACTATTGCTCTGCCAATGAGCCTCAGAAGATAGAAAGACAAGCTACAATGCAGAGAAACTATCTGCAAGTCCCATACCCAACAAGGGATGTGTGCCTAAAATAAAGAACTCTCAAAGTTCAAAAGTGAAGAAAGCAAACAATCCAATTGAAACAAAAGACATGGCGGTAACAGAGGGGACCCTAGGTTCCCTCTGGCCTCCACGACGGCATGCCAACACCCCATCCCACCCCACCTCTGCCTCCAACACGCACATACATACATACACACACACACATACATTAATGCCATACCCTCGCACCAAGAAAGTCAAGAAATAAAAATGTGGAAGAAATACACAAGTACAGTACAGGAAAATAAGCTACGACTTTATCTGAAAGATTCTGATGCAAGGACGGGCTGACCAAGCTGGACGAAGGGAGAACTGAAGGCAGTCTACTTGGACTTGATGGACTTCATGGCTGCGCTTCAGAAACACAGGTATCGCTGAGACTGCTAAATGTTCCTTCGGGACCCTTTCCTAATTGGTACTACCTCTAGTTTAAAGGTAAGATTTGTGTGTGTGTGTGTGTGTGTGTGTGTGTGTGTGTGTGTGTGTGTGT